ATATATACCAGTATATGCATACCAGTCTATGTAGTCCCCATTAAAAGGGGGTGGGAAAGACAGGGAGGGGGAGAGAGAGAGAGAGAAATTGAAAGAGAGAGAGAGGGACAAGGCTTGCTTTCTTTGCAAGTGAGAACATGAACGTGAAAGTTCAATAACCAGAATGCATTTGCTTTGTACGTTTTAAACCTGCTGTAGCTACTGTAATCAGCACATGAAGTTGGGTCTAATTGCTACTTTCCAGCTTGACCTAATTGGTGCTCTGATTTGCAGTCACCTACCTCTATCAGTCCATGTTTCATTACATTTTACCCTTGCTCCTGAAATCCTAAAATTCCCATGGGGAAAAATAGACTACAGCGATCCATAGCTTTTGTATGTGAACTGACAATTCTTTCTCCCCTGTAACTTTCATTCATGTATTTCATGAACAATGAAAATACAATGGGTTGACAGAGAGATTTATTAGTTACCCCCAAATACTCCTTATTTAGGCAGGCATAAGTCCTTTTAATTCCCTGGGAGTTTTACTTAAACTCTGAATGAAAACTACAGTGATATAAAATCAGCTTAGAGATATTTTCATAACCTAATTGGGGTGTTTATATTACAAGACTATGTTATTCTCAGTCTCTGCCCATAATTGCAAAGACAAAGTTCTTCGGTGAAGAATGTGTCAGTAATTTTCATGGAAAATGATTTAAAGGAAAGCTTTTGAAATATGGAATCCTCATAGTTTTAGCTTTAAATAAGCATTTCAGTCATCATAAAAAAACCCCTCTAATGTCTCCTGCAGCTTTGATTTCAAACACGTCACATTCTTCATTAAAGCAATCATTGTTAAAACAGAGGGACATAAAGCAACATAGGATTTATTCCTTCATTAAACTGATGATCCGTATATGAAGCCAATTAACATTATGAGTCTGGTGAACATCAAGTGTAAAGAGGTTACAGAAAATTAAAAGCAGTCACCTTGGTCTTTAGATAAAGAAAGAACACTTTTACATTATAAATTATAAGAGTGTCCAAGCGGGACAAATCGGCAAATTTCGTTAATTGGAAAATACATTTTACTGCACATGAATTAGGGTAAAATAACCTTTTAGCTGCTAGCTTTTTTCTGTAATCAGGTATTGAGAATCATGGGAAAGGAGGTGTTTGGACATGGAAAGGCAAAAGACTCATTTCATCAAACTAAGCCATTCAGACTTCCTTGAGTTCTACGAATGAGCCCCTCAAAGCTCAGTGCTCTGAAGGAAAAGGTCCATTCAGTGATTTTGCTCATCAGTTCAGCCCTAGGTTTTGTCGTTGTGGATGAAAAATAAGAGGTGTGTTTGTGTGTGCAGCACAGGAACAGTTCTGCTGTCAGACAGACACAATCAGCAGAATGTCCATCCAGAATTATATTTAGTTGGGCTTTTTCTTGCAGACCTAGTAACTAATATTGATGTCACTCTAAATATTCATAGTAACAATAACAGTAATAATAACAGTAATAAAAATTAAGTTTATGAGGGAGACTTTAAGGACTTTACATAACAAGGGAATTTTCTTCTGAAATATTGTAGCTCTGTACGTTATTTCATTCTACAGCTTATTTTTAGTGCTTGCCTTTGGCAGCTGGATGAGAGGACCCACCAGAGAAACATGGTCCCAAGCAATTTAGTGGGTATGTTTTCCACTGTGGTCCCAGCTTCGCAGGAAAGCGTCTACCGCACGGAGAGACCCAGAAGCAGCCCTGCCAGCATCCTTCCCCCGGAGCAGGGACTAGCCCCGGTCCGCCCCGGCGGGCGCTCTCCGCGGTGCTGAAGCGCCGCCGCCGCCCCTGGGCTCCGGCCACCCGAGAGCAGCGCCCAGGACTCCCCTGCGCTAACTTTTAATTATGTCAGCCCCACGTTTCGAGCATTAAAATTAAACAGACATCGAGCTGGCGAGGGGTGGGGGATTATATATTGCTTAGTTATCTCCTTGTTTTGCAGCTGCTGCTCCTTGGGAGAAAGTTGAGTCTCGGCCGGCTCCGAGTCCTTCTATTTCTATTTAAAAAGCGGCGACTTGGAGCACTTCCCCGTGCTCCATTCCGCCCTCTCTGCCTCCTGCAATACGCTGAACTTGCAGGCTTCAAACTGCTGGGGAAAGTGAGTCTTGGAGCCAAACCAGCAATGCAGCCCCTGACTAGAGCAAGGCCTGAGAGTGCCATAATGAAGTTATTATTATTTTATTAGGGGTTCTTATGATAAAACACTGTCTCATTCCTCTCTTCCCGATGTCAGACAAAAGTCACTTCTGTCTCCGTGCAAAGGGATCCTACAGTGCTGGCCCTGTGTGCATTTTAAAGCTCAGGATGGAGAGGCTGGCAGGGGAGACCCAGGCAGCACCTCTGGGTTATGTTCTTCTTTTTAAGGTTCCTTGACCTAAAGCTTATGCTGCTATTTTAAGGAGGTCAGTTGGCTTCAGAACACTGGTCTTTGATCTTGCACGGTGCTGTAGAAGCCGTCTCGATTGGTACTATACTTTGCTGCTCAGAGACTTTCCTGGATGGTGAGTCAATATCTGTTGTCAAACAAAGATATTCATAAAAGTGTTTATGTTAATGTGTAGACATGTAAATAAATATGTGTATATATAAATATATAAACACATGAATGCAGCTTTCTAAATCTGTTACTAGTATGATAAAATCGTAAGTCAGCGGACAAGATCAGATCAAATCAATTTGGATCTCAAGTACAATTAATTTTTGCCTTGTTTTGCTAAAATAATGCTTTGCAGGGCTGAAACATAACTTCAACTTGAATATATATTAGGGGAATTTCCACATCTATGCCAAGTGTCAAGGCAGATAGAGCAGGTGATATTTCTAAGGCTTATTTGTGTTTATATAATGAGATCATATGTGCAAAATAACTTTCCAAAGACATCATCTATTCAAAATCTCTATTTCTGCACCTGTATTGTCTGTATCCATCTCCTTTGCTCTGGTATGAACGTGCTATGTCTTTAAACTCCCATCAGATCTAAGAGAGCCTGTGTAGATTTGCTCGCCCTTCCTGCACAGAACATTACAATGTTTATAAAATATTAAATTTGTGTAGTCTGCCGGAGAAGCAATTGTTCCAAAATAAAATCAGCAGTCTAGACGAAACATAGACACCAGAACTTATCAACAGTTGTCTGACTTACATCTTCTGATGCATCTTGAGTGGGTCATAATACCAACTTTATTTTCAGTGGTGCATAAATTAATTACACGCATTTAATAACCAAAATATCATTATATTCCCCCTTTAATATCATAAAGGCTTTACGCCAGGGAAGCACTTAATGTGCAGGGGGCCATAACAGGCTATTATCCTTGTGTAATGCTATTACAGAACCAATTATGCGCCATTATACTTGCTTTTTTTGCAGTTTATGTGATTTGATCCAATCCCGCGTCCCTGACTTGAAAATTTCATCTGGGTACTTTAAAGTCTAATTTTCACCCGGGCTGAGGCAAGGGCCATCTCTCTCCGCTGAGCCTATGTCTCGGATGCATTTTAAAAGTAATTGCGCAGGGTCCCGCCGCATATCATTTGCAGACGGGAAGCGAGCATAAATCCAGAGACCCCTCGCTGCGAACAAAATCAAACTTTGCCGTGGTACGATCGCTTGGAAAGGCGAGGCGTGTGCAGAGCGACCCCCCAAACCCCATCCGGCGGCAATTACCCGGCGCTCCGGCAGCCCGGGGTGCGGGCGGCGCGCAGCGCTCGGCGCGGAGGGGCCCCCCCGGCCCCGCACCCGGGGCACCCGGGGCGGAGGGGGGACACGCCGGGGGCCGCGAGCCCCGGAGCGCCCAGCGCTCGGAAAATAATGGGATTGTGTTGCTGCCGTTCACATTCCTGGCGTTTGCTGAGAAATGACGGTTTTTTCTTTTCATCCTTTCCACCCCCCCCCCTGCTCTGCACACCACGTGGGCCATTTGTAGGGCCCAATAGACCTATCCAAGTTACTCACTGTAGACAGCGCTGGAAATAATCAGATTAAGGCCAATTATGCGTGAGATTATAAAGGCAAGTGCTGAGAGGCAGAGCATGCTGTAGACAGATATAAAGACATCTGGCCACTTCCAGAACTCCACAGAGCCCTTCTGTCTCTGAAGCCAACAACTCACAGCGCCTTATTCTAAAGCAAAATACCCCCAAACCTTACCGGTGATTTTTACGTCTTTTCGGTTTAGGTATGGATTACTATATTCATTTGACTTCTGGATATTTTTTTTATGACTGCATATAAATTTGAATAGTTGTTTGGTGGTTTGGCTTTTTTTTTTTTTTTTTTTTTTCCGAGGACATTGGTTTCCAACCTGAACATGGCTCTCCGTTGCTTTAAAAAGAAGACAGCTTTTAGGTTTTATTGCTGTTTCATTTAGGCAGAATAATTTAGATTTTTTTTTTAAGCGGTTCTACAAACATCTTTTTCTTTATGTAATTATTTGCTCCGGAGAAGAGTATTTGAGATAATTAGATAGATAGGGAGATAGATAGATAGATAAATAGATAGATAGATAGATAGATAGATAGATAGATAGATAGATAGTGAGAGAGATCACTATTGCTGGATAGATAAAAGAAAAAGAGAGAGAGAATCTGCTATTCGGGGGAGAAAACAAACAAAGTTTTACTGATTGTGATTACTGTGTGTCTACCACGGAGTCTTCTATCTTTGGCTTTTTCAGTTCGCTGCAGAGGGTTAGGCATTACTTTCTCTGCTTCCTCTGGGATGGGCTTTAGGGTTGTCAGTGAGTTTCTCCAGGTGTTTTCTTCTGGCTATTCACCTATTCTGTTCTTTCCTTCTCTGTCTGCAGGTCTGCAGGAGACACCTCGGCGGTGCGTGGCGGTGCCCGACTGGGGAGCTGGTGCCGGTCCGTCGGTGCGAGGGGAGGGCGGGAGCCCCGCGCCCCACGGGCTGGCCCCGGGCTCGCAGCTGCGGGCAGCGGGCGCCCACCCAGCCGCAGGGCCATGTTCTACTTCCACTGCCCCCCGCAGCTAGAGGGTGAGTGTTGTCGCACAGAGACGTGTAAGTACCAGAGCTGAACTTCGAGGGGTGTGTGCAGGGGACGGAGGGAGAAACTGTGGTCTGACTTGCTCCACGACGGTCGGGTACAGATACGTGCTGGGATAAGATGTAGATTTATAAAGACCCCTAAATATTATCCTTTTCCTTAAGAAAACACAATCCTATCCCCCTCCCCGCTCCCAGCTTTCCCCTCTTGTCACAGGATGGAAAGAATTACTTTTTTTTTTTTTTTTTTTTATTTTGATGCCTGCTGGAAAGGCCTTGGTTTTACACCCCCACCCCTGTCATTTTGCCACCTGCCTCCCCTCTGTGGATAGTGATCCCGCAGTTGAGCCTCAGGCTACGGCAGAGATGCTTTTCTCCCCTCCCAGCACAGATGTTGGTGTCATGGCTGTAATCGGGACACTTTCAGGACGTGGTCACGCCTCCTCTCTCCAGCCAAAGGGACCGCATAAATCTTTAATGCTATTTTACAAACATTCTGCGGGAGGATGGGGGAAAACGAGGCACGACTGAAGAAAAAAAAGGAAATAAATATTTGGGAGGATGTTTTTCTTTGTGTTATTGGTCAGAGGCTTTTGTCTATTTATTATTATTATTATTATTATTATTTGTTTCCTTTAAAAAAAATATGGCAGCCGTCGGGATTTCCTCTTGTCCCCGGGCCCTCTGCACCCGCTCCCTCCGGCCAGTGTTCGTAGTGCGCGGAGCATCCTCGGAGCCGCGGCCGCGCAGCCCCAGCCCGGAGGGCTGTCCCACCGTGCCCGAGCGCGCCCGCGGCTGCACGGCGGGGAAAGTGACCCGACCCCGGAAAATACCCCTGCCTGCCCACCCCGTTCCTTGCACGGGCATCGCAGGGAGACCAAGGGGATTTCCCTGCGGCAGCCCTGCCAGGAAGAGACGGTCCAACTCTCCCCAAAGTTTTCTCCGGGCGGGACAAGGGAGGTGGACCGGGCAGGATAGTGCGAGGATCTCTCCCGCTCCTGTCACCAAGCGCTGGGGTGGCTTTGTTCGTTACTTTTTGGCAACAGCTTTGGAAGCGTGCTCTTGTTTTTGTTTGTTTGTTTGCTTGCTTGTTTGCTTGTTTGTTTGATGTGTGTTTGTTTCTCCGGTGGCAGCGTGGGGCCGGCGCCAGAGACAGGGAGCTGCCCCCGCAGTCTACAGCCTCTCCCGGCGGCGTTCGGGACCGGCCCTTCATTCTCCCGCCGTGGGCAGCATCGGGGAGGGGGGGAAGGGGCGGACTCTCCTGCTAAAGGGTAAAAAGAATAAATATATAAATAAATAAAAATACACCACTGTCCAAAACCCCCCACCCACCGATCACCAAACCAGAGGTGGCAACAGAAAAGCTCTCTTCGGCCAGCGTTTGGGCAGTCAGGGAGGCCCAGTACCACAGGGAAGAGACCGGACTCTAGGGGTCACCAGGACAGTATTTTATTCTCTGATGAGCCTCTCCCAGGCTAGCAGAGAGTCGTCCGTCTGTGTGAGGAGGGGGCTGGAGGCCGTGTTTATCTTCCAAACTATGCTGCAAGATGAGCGGCGACCTCCAGTCCCCGTGCCCGCGGTGGGGCCGGGCCGGGCCAGAGCACCCCATGGGCAGGTCTGCGAGTGGGGGCACAGGGACATTCAGCAACTCTTCTGAGGGTTTGGGTACTTTTCTTTTCCGTGAGGGTTTTTTTGTTTTGTTTTTGTTTGTGAGTTTGGAGGTGGTGGATTTTTGTTTGTTTGCTGTTTCTGAGTTTGGTTTAAGTTTTGGGTGGTATTTTGGTCTGGTTTGTTTTGTTTGGTTGGTTGTTTTTCTTTATCCTGTTTTGCCAGCGGACAGAAAGGGGGTGACACACTTCATCCCGGGCACGGAGGATGTGTGACTGGGGGAGCCGCGAAGGCCAGGGTCCATTCCACTTGCATCCAGCGGCCCATTTGCCCTCTGCCGACCTCTGCCCAGGGACAAAACCCCAGTGCCCCAGTCGGCCCCTCGAACCCCCGTCGGGGAAGGACAGGGGCTGCCTCCTCCAGCCCCGCTGCAGAGTCCCGGCGGCTCAGCCGTGGCTGAGCTGCCCCCGGTGCTCAGCTGTACGGAGCCCCGTGCCCATGTTCTCCTCCAGGAATGAGGGCGAGCAGATGGGGGTGGCTCGACCGCTGCTCGCAGGATGTGCGTGGGGAACCACAGAGCCCCCGGTGCTGCTCCGTCCAGGCAGGGGCTTTCCCGGGCTCTCCCGGCAGATGGGCAGGGCCTTTACGAGCTGCCGTCCCCAAGCCAATGTCAAAGCTTCATCTTGTCGTCCTTTTAAAACACAAATGGCCCGAAAAAATACTCTTTACCGGGGCGGGGTGAGCTTCGGTCGGAAGAACCCCCCGGTGCCCGCAGGAGCCCCCTGCCCAGCTCCCGCCGTGCTCCCGGGGCCGACCGGGATGCTTGGGCTCCGGCCCCGCGGGGATGGAGCCGCATTCCCCACCCAGCCGATGTGGCCCCGACCCTTTGCCCCCACGGGGCACAGCGGCCCCTAACTCGGCTCTCGGCCCGCAGGCGCGGCCCCCTTCGGAGGCCACTCCGCTGGCGACTTCGACGACGGGTTCCTGCGCAGGAAGCAGCGCCGCAACCGCACCACCTTCACCTTGCAGCAGGTAGGAGCCTGCTTCTCTCTGCCCCTGCCCTGCGCACCCATTGCCCCATGCTTGCCCCATACTTGCTCCCTGCCTCCTCCATACTGCTCCCTTCCTGCTTCCCACCTGCTTCCCACACGCCCCATGCCGTGCCAGTCCTGTGCCCCGCCTGCCCCGCTGCCTCGGGCGGTCCCGCTTTCCTCAGCCATGCCTGGCACACACCCCCTGGGGCGGCCGGACAGATTTCTCACGGATCTCTGCTCTCCCCTCCAACAGCTCGAGGCCCTGGAAGCCGTTTTTGCTCAAACCCACTACCCCGATGTGTTCACTCGGGAAGAGCTGGCTATGAAAATCAACCTCACAGAGGCCAGGGTGCAGGTAAACATCCTGGGGAATTATTTAATTCGGGTATTCAAACTGGCAAACTTTTTTTTTTTTAAATTTTTTTTTTATTTGACATCATGACTGCAGAGTGCACATTTGGCCAAAGAACGCAAATGAAGACGATCTGTCATTTTCATGATGCACTTTAATAACATCAACATAATGTGGAATATTAGATTAGGTTGATTAATCGGTCATTCATAATTAACTAGTGATAATGTTCTACACTAATTTGTCCGCGTCTCCAAGGTACTAAATTACATCAATGCACATCCATTTCCTTGCTTTTGGAGGGGGGGCGTGGTGCGGAGAAAAGAGCTGAGACGTGATTCTCCGAAGCAACTATGACCACTGTCGAGCAGTGGGGTTAGTCAACTGCAGGGAGGCCAGCTGCCAGGAAGAAATCTTATGCACCTCTTCAACTTTTCTCCCTTTGCCTTCTTTCTAAACACTTGATTTAGATAGCTAAAAAACCTGCAGAGCAATTTCCACACCTTTAATATGATCCAGTAAATACCATTGGCCATGATTACTCTTTCCACCACCACTCTTCCACCCCTTCTTTTCTTCCTTCTCCTCACCTTTTCCCTCTTTTTTTTCCCCCTTTTATCCATGCGTTTGTTTTTCCATCTCCAGGGATTAACTTTGTGTGTCTACAAGCTCTGCCAAGAGCAGCAGTCTTGCAGTTGTCAGACATGGATCCCTATAACTCTGCAGGCATTCACTGCAAAGTTGCAAACCATTTTTTGAACACAATTATGCATTAATTTTTGTTTGTGGGGCTTTTCCACATGCTGCTCTTCTATTTTTTATTTATTTATTTATTTAGGCGCTCGGGGTTAAGACTATGCAAAGATCTAATTGTAGGAAATATAATAGCTTGCCTTTTGTTCCCTAGGGTCATGTTAGTATCTCTTAAAACCCAATGGCTGAAGAGAGATAATGGAATTCACCACAGTAAATTGGGGATTGTAAACAAATTATTTCTCCTATAATCAGATTATGTGATCCTGATTATTAAATCTCAACATGAATCATTGGTCATATGCTGGCAAATTAAACTGATTATTATTTGAAAATGAAAATCTCCTTTTGCCACTGCGTTGTAGGTACTGGCTTAAAAAAAATAATAAAAAATGCCATTTTGGCTATTGGTGCCTAAAGACTGAACTGCAAATTGAGATAAATGGGACAATTATTGAGCATTCAGAAGTGGAAGATCATAACTTCTTCCTGAAAGGTGCAAGGGTGAGATAGGGGTGGTGACAATTAGATTGCTGAGGACTGGTGTTTAGCCTTGTTGTTGGCTATTATGCAAACAGACAATAGATGCAAGCATTTGTTTAGCCTGCTTTCATACAGGGACACGGGGAAACACAGAGGATGGGAGATATGTTTACATTTATACCCCTTGCTCATTCAAATATGATTAATGTGCTATAAAGCAGAGTCTTAATCGAAGATGATGTTGTCAAACAATAACTAAATAGGGAAATAAACGACTTCATCATGCTCTTTCCTCAGAAGCAGGCGAACTGTCAGTGCAAAGTCATTAAAATATGATAATGAAAAATAGCTCAATTAAATGTTGTTATAGCTGTGACCTTCATTCAATTAAGACACAAGAAAGTGTCTGCATTTTGCTTTGCATTTAACTGCTCTAAATTTAGAATATAGATAAAATCATTATTCAATGTTTGCTGATACATGCAATTAAAAGGCAGCTAACCAAAATGGAGTTGGAAGCGGAGAATAATAATAACACCAATCTCGCCTATACTTGAATTTGTGTGTTAAAATGTGGGTTTCCTGATCTCAAGAGCAGCTTGGCATTTTCCAGCTCAGATACGATCCTTTCAGAGAATCAGCTCCAAGGTTAATGGAAAAAAAGAAGGTTTTGGACTAAAAATCAGGTGATAAAATCAAGAACATGAATGTTTGTTTCGCATATGGGGAAAAAAATAAGGTTTGGAAACTGGTGTTCTGAGACCGTAGTGTGGCCTGAGGCGGGGGGGCAGTTGTACCACCACAGTATTAAACTGTAGAATGATCTTCCAAAATTAGTATCTATCAACTTCTGAGTCCTTTGAATGCAGACTGGACATAAGAAGAATAACAGCCAGTATCAGTTCTCTCCAGAAAATGGGCTGTATAATATGGCCCAATACACATCTTTTCATTTCTCACCTCTCTGGTTCTAGCAGCAGCTCATTTAAAGACATATATGGTTTCATCAGAGTGCTTAGATATGTATTTAATACCATCCCTGTAAAATGGCTTTCAGTTGTGTTAAAACATAGAAATCAGTGAGAATTAAATGTGTGCATTAAGGCAAGCACATGATTAAATGTTTTGCTAGCTGGCATGGTAACATCAAAACTATTTTTTTTAAGTTTTTGCTTGTAACATGCCTTTGGAATGTCTTTAGACATTTCTGGCTTGTTTTCCAGACCCAGAAACATTACAGATACAAGTATAATCCTAAGACTCAACTAGAATAGCAATGGAGATACAAAATAAGAGGAAGTTTTAGCCAAGCTTTTAAATGACTGATTTCACTAGCGTAACAATTTACAATTTCCTTGCTTCACATTCGGCTAAACACAGTTTTCAGCCAGGATTGCTCTCCCACTCCAGGTGTGGTTCCAAAATCGAAGAGCTAAATGGAGAAAAACAGAGAGGGGTGCTTCTGACCAAGAGGGATCTAAGGAAACCATGACTGAGGTGGCACCTCCTGCAAGGAATTTAAATTCCCCTTCTCCAGCAGATCAAACCAGGAATAAAAAAGAGGGTCTAGAGATCCAGCAGAGGTAAGAGTGTGCTATCAGCTGCCTGTCTGTGGGGCAAGCACGCCTCATATATATGTATGTGCATACAGATTTGCATGCTGCCATACTTTGACCTACATAGAATCATCTCTAGAAAATGAGCTGTTTCTTGTGCAGCTCACTGTTCCCTGTGGGAATGCTGGGAAGCTGGTGGCTGTGGGAGGCTAATGTTATCCAGGCTTGGTCACATCTAGTTGAACACTGAGATACCAACATGTTTGCGTGTATGCAGAAATGGAATCAGCTGGTTCTGGTTTTGCAAGGAAGTTGTTTTCTCTTCTCCATCAGCCTGAGTCGAGCAGTGGGTCCTACAGGACCTTTCTTCCCTTCCTGCCTGCCGGGGACTCTCCTCAACACAGCCACCTACGCACAAGCTTTATCCCATGTCGCCTCTCTAAAAGGTAAATTACTTTGTTTAACTTCAGGGGTAAAGTGGCATAGTCCCACGTGTGGGGAAGCCTTTGGGAAATGGTGGATCTCTCTTTCTGTTTAGATGGCAGTAATTGCACTGACCAATGCTGCACATACAGAATTGAGCCTCCTGTTGTATCTTGTAGCATCATTTGTGGCAAAACTCCTTCATTTTACTCAGTTACTTTTTGTGAGGTCAGGATTTGTCTCAAGGAGTGAGGCAGGTAGGGTTGCTCCTTTAGAGTTTTTGTTGCATATGCTTTTTTTTTTAAGAGTCAAATTTATTCTAATAAATTAGTTATACACGTCCTTTTGCATTATGTATTACCTGGCACCATTACCGATGCCTCATCCGCTCCGCATGCAGTTTCCTTTGCAGCGCATCTCTGCACAATCCAGACCTTTCTCTTCTTGGACAGTAGAACTTGAATAAAGTGTGTTCCTGGGGACAGGGGAGGATACAAAGTAATTCCTCATTACCTGGGACCCAGGCTTCAGGAAGGGTACATCCCATGTCTTTGTACTTTCAGTTTCCAAAAAGCAGCACTATGCATCTTTTAAAAATAAATCACCTGCTGATCCATTAGCTGTTCCTAGCCTAACAATTTCTAAGACTAAGGGTGTAAGCAGGATGAATTCAATTTATAGATTTATAGGATGTAAAGCCTCATAGCAGTGCCAAGCTCAAAGAGGCACATACATTTACTCTGTCCCGATGTGCAATAACTTGCGAGGAAAGTTAAAGACCCTCCACTATGAACAAAAATGTCCTCTAATACCTCTCACTGTATTCTCTGGTGTACCTCATGCTCCTTGTGAGTATTTCCAGTTAAATCAGTATTGCCAAGGTGTATTCCTTAAGCAAATATTTGGAACTGCTGAGTTTTGTGTTAACTCCAGTGTCCTGCCCCCTGTACTTCCTTCCTCCAGTCTTTCAGAAAAACTGAATCCAGACACAACTGTTACTGCTCTTTTGTTAGATGTGGGACCTGAGATTTTGAATCAAGAAAGGACACACAGGTGTGACCTGAACCCTAAAACTTAAAGGCTATAAGTGGGCAGCAGCTGTTGGAGTGCATGAGTCCTCTTGATCTCTGCCCTGTGAAGTGTTGGGGCTGGGAATTTTGGTTTCCTCGATTAGGTAGGAACAGCTTCCCTGGAGTAGATATACATGAAATTCTTCAGGGAAAAAGATTGTTCATTGATAAATGTAGTCCCAGACGGGTTGAAATGTGTGGAAATAGAGTTGTTTTTAGAGAATAATTTCAGATGGAAGTAAGGGATTTTTTTTTTCTTAAAATTTACATTTAAGTGTTTTCAAAATTAAAAGCATCAGTTAGTTGTTTTCACTTGCTTCATGTCTAAATGTAGCAAAATTTTAAGAAAAAATAACCTAAAAAACAAAAGCCAATCAAAATAATAAAAAAAAAAGGAATAAAAAAACAGCATGAAGGGTTGGTATTTTTTGTTCTGTTGTTTTCTTTTTTGGTTTTTGTTTGGTTGGTTGGTTGTTTTTAGTTTTATTTATTTGGAAGACTTCCTGATATTCTTTTCTGTGATATTACAGCTCAGCCACTAAATTGAGAAATTAATAATTTGGTCCTTTTTGCTTTGCTTTGCTTTACAACCTAGGGGCAGAAAAAGTTCTACTCCTGAATCTCTTGTAGATATTTGATAGTCAGTTGCCCAGGCTAAGAGACAGTGTCCTTGAAAAGCTGGTCCCAAAATACAGAGGTTTTTTTTTTGTAATTTTTGTAGGAATGATTGTCAGATGCCTGGTTACTGTCTTGGTGAATGTTGTCAGCTATACATGCAGTTCATTCCTGAAATGGCCTGGTTTATATTTCCTGCCTGCCACTAGAAATCTCCAGATGCATGCAAGGAGACCGTGATAAAGCAGTATATTTTGATTTTAATAGATCCAGTTACAGACTCACACATCTGCATATCCATCTACCAGGAGCTTTGTGGAACTGCCTATACCTGTCAGCAAATTGTTATCCTTGTAAGGAACTTGTAGTCTGAGCTGCTTGTTTAGAGGGGAACTCTTTTTCTTCTGCTGCTAGTTCTGCTGATAGGTCTCAGTAATGTCAAATTTTGGCTTTGAGCTTAAGGAGCAAGAATTTATAGTTCTATGAGAGAACGAAGTTGACTTATACAAGCAGAGAATAATTGTAGCATCTTTCCTGTGGTATTGATATATGGAGTATTGTCTCCTCCTTCCTTGGCTCATCTCCACAGTTTCCTCTTTCCCCCTTATTCCAAGCATAATTCACTTGTGCTGGGGTAGGTGCTGCTTGTAAATTGGGGAACAGGACAATCTCTAGACCTTCTGAGTATCACAGGTCTGATCCGCATTTTGTTTTTCTTTGGTATGGAAACTGCAGATGAATGATGGTTCATCTAAACCAGTATATTTGAGAGCACAACCAAGCTCACATGTCAGTCCGGAGGAGGAGATAATGGTTGTGGGAAGGAAATAAAGAACAGGGAGAGACACAGTGTTCACAAAACTCTAATATGATTATCTTCGACATATGCTCAATTCGGTTTGTTTGACTCTCCCTCCTCATTTCCTTTTGAGCTAGGAGCTGATTTGTGCACTTAGGCTTGCCAAAGGAGTACTAACCCTAAATTTATCTGGGTAATAGTCTATGTCCTTACATGTTGTCTTAATGAAGTGACCTAAACCTCTCCCTTGAGAATCTAGTTGCATTTTGCTGCAGAAATGATTTGACTCTACCACAGTGAATCTGAGGGCATAGGACTTTCTCTAACACAAAATCCCATCAAACTCAGCACAGGCATAGAGTTCTGAGCTCCTTGTTTCTTTGGATTGCTTCAATAAGGGGGAATTCAGCAAGTAATAAGGTTTTCCAAAATTTTGCAAGTTTTATTGAAGAGTGAAGTGATCAAGAGGTCTTCCCAGTATCTGTCTTGTGCCAACTATGCTTTCTTTGTGCTTTTGAAAGCAAAATAGTTGCTCCAGAATCAAAGCACCATGTCACTACCAAAGGATGCATGATCCCACTTTCTTCTATGCCAGTGTCAAATTAAATGCAGCTCCTTTATGTGGATCCTGTAAATGGATATGTATTCCTACCACTGGGAGAATAATCCCAGTCAGTAAAGGGAATCATCTTCTTAAGTAAGGCCATAAGACCTGCCTGCAAACAAATGGGCACTCTGAGCACATCAGATTCTACTGCAAAGTGTAGGTTGTTCTCTTATTCTTTTGAGGATACAAGATGTGCTTTGTTGGACTTGTGAGCCAACACTTCAGTGGTGTCAGTGAGTAATATTTGACTGATGCTTTAAAAGGAGACAATTAAAATCAATACAGTGAATAACAAGTGATGATGGTGATGTAACTAATTAATAATTATTTTATGCTCTCAGAGACCATTTTCATTCTGCCATCTGAGGGTTCTGTCTTTTGTAAAGAAACTAATACCTCTCCTTCCCTCTCTGACTTTGCTTGGCTCCAGACCCAGATTTCCAAAGCTACATAAAGTGCCTAGGGAACAGGGTTCTTGGATCTAATTTATAGTATAAGGATGTAATAGTTGATGATGAAGTTGGTCTAGAAGAGAAAAAAATCTCAAGACAGCCTAGTATGGGGCAAGGACTAAGCCTGCAACTTTCCCTTTGGAAAGATTGTGAAGTGCACTGTAGGCTTGCCCCATGCTTTCAGTGGCTCTGGACCCCACATATGCCACTTCTGGGTAAATGGGGGATATTGTTGGAGCATGAGACTAGGTCTGCTCTGATGAATGAGAAGAAAGCTATTTTCCCTAAGCACCTATGCCCCATGAACTTCGCTGTCTCTGCAATAGAGATTTCACCCCCCACCCCCCCAAAGTGAGGATATTAGCACCACAGGATGTTCTGTGAAGAAAAGAAGCCACCCATACAATAGCAATTGAAACTGTTATTCAGAGCATAGACTGTTCCAGAGAAGAGTACATTATCACTGACCAGTTTTTCTCCATTTCTATCAAATATTCTGTATTCAGTAATATAACATACCTTTTCCTTTTCTTTGGGGAGTCTTCTCCCTCTCAGGAGTTTAGCACATTAGAAGTTGTACTTAATAGCAAGCATCTGTCTACTACTATATCACCTTTCTGTGTACTATTCTTTCAGGAAATACAATTCCTTGTTTGAAAAATTTGTATAAGATCATAATTTCTGGTGTATACAGTGTTTTCTACTTTAGGGTTTTGTAATTCACCACTGGTCATACTCAGGAAGAAGGTTGACATGGATAGATGAAATTTCTGATGTTCATTACTCTCTGGAATTGTCTTGATTTGACAACTATGCTACTTCATTGTGGTGACTTCAACAGTTCCATGATCTTCCAAGATGAAACACTTACTGTAAGCCATGCATCTGCAGTCCATTTAGTAGATTTAATTGCAGACCTCAAAGATGAAGGGAAAATACTTGTTTTATTTATGGGCTGTATAACAATAGAGTCATCAGGAGAAGCTAGTGTTCTGTGCAGAGAGACCTCAAAGTACCTTCTTAATGGATGACAGCATGAATGCAATTCATTAATGTAGAAGATGTTATTAATGGGTGTAAACAAGAATCTCCGCTTTTTAGCCGGATGTGTTCTACCGTTCTGGTGGCTGAGGCCAAGAGTGTGTCTGTTACGTTCCACTGAAATTTCCCCAGACCCCATGATGAGTGAAGTGTATGAGGAGAGAAATAATTACACTTGCCAGGGAATTACTTTCATAATTCACTCACAGCTCTGTGCAAGTTATAGCTTGGTTGGTTTTCACGGCACCTCCACACCACCGGTAGAGAAGCAGGATCACATTATGCACATCAAAATGCATATGCCAGGGCACCATTGATTAGGCTCTTTTATGGTTTGTTGCTGCTGTGGTTGCTGTTCATATTAGGGAGGTTTAATTGCAGTATCCAGGAAAAAAAAAACAAAACACAACTAGAACTGCCCATCCATTACATTTCAATTTCTATCATGGAAAGATGAAGAGAATTTGCATAATTCCATTGGGCAATTCCCATTGCCAAGGCTGTGAAAGAAGTGTTCAAGGACCTAACTCATCCTTGAACTAGTGTTTACTGAATTGAAGCACCGCTGTTTCCTGTAAGACTGGGGAATGGGGATAAAATCTCTTGGGGTCCTTTATTTTCTCTGTCATTCTTGATTATGGACTTACTGACTTTTTTAATGTAATACAGCAAATATATTGAGTGGGTTCTGCTTGACATTTTCCATAGTTTATCTGCCACTCTCACTTTGGAGAATTTAAAACATTTCTGTAGTTTGCTGCAGATGCACATACCTTGAGAAAATTACTTTGATTCCTGTATCACAGGTCCCCAGCTCTAGCACTGTCCTACCTCACAGGTATATTTTGCTTATTTTTATCACACCTACTAGGGAATATGCAAGTACTAGGCACCCTAAGAGCCATGGGTAGGAAATTGATGCTGTCTTGTTTCTTCCTGGACCAATCCTGATTAGGTTAGTGGACTTCAGGCATGCAGGGGTTCCTATTGAAAGGGGAACGGAAAGTAGGGTTTGCCTTTTGGAAACACTATCTATTAAAATCTTTAAAATATTTATGTATCAATATGGACCCTGCTCCCACCCCACTCTTCTCAGCTGAAACTGAACTGTGGAACTGCAGAACTGCACAAAAGGTACCACAACGAAACTTGTATATCAAATATCACTACAATTAAAATGTGATGTTGGCACAGACAAGACAAAACTAATTTGATTTTTCCTGTCAGTCTCTGTAGTAGATCAATTAAACTGCCAAGTAGATCAAATATTTCAGACTGTATTTATTACATTAAGTATTTATGTTCAGGCTGAGCATTTAAAGTATGATCTCATATAGGAACACAAGGAGGTTTAGATCAATTCAGCAGAATTTGCTGTAAGTTAATGGAAATCTAATTGTGTATTTTAATTTTGTGTACAGGAGGCAGTAAGGTCCTGAAAGAAAGCAAACATCACCCTGTCCGTATTGTAGCAACTTGATACAAATCCCATTAAACTAATACCAGATTGTCGTAGATGTTAGTGGAAGCTGAATCAAGATCTAGGGCTTAACCCTCACCCATTTTGATGGGTGCTGGATGCCTGATGTCCTGAAGATTCGAAATAAGTAGGAGCAATTCACTCCTTCCCCACTGTGGACTCAAGGTTACTGTGACAAGATGTTAAAACCCTCTGCTGCCTGCTAGATAAGGACGCTTCTTTCTTGGTCAGCATCACATCCTGTACATTGTGGGCTGACTGACAGGCAGGTGGAGACCTTGGGCTCCTGAGTCTCCCATAGTTTGTCTCGGCTTTTGTGCCAGCAAAGTCCAATAGATTTCACTGGACTTATCACCTGCAGATGCAGGCAATTGTAAGGTAGATTCAACCTTCCTTACAACATACATTAAAAGGAAACAGGGCTAAATCCTACCCTCCTCTATGCTAGCTGGACCCTGGAGCAAATGTTGTCTTTTGTTTTACTTCTTTTTTATGTGTGAGCTGTTCTTTGCAAGTGTTTTAGCCTCGGTGAAAATGAAAGGAATGGTTATGGGTGAACTATTGCTAGAAATAGTTTAGTTTCCACCACAGGTAACTGCACCCTCAGGTTGCAGAGCTACTAGCTAATATCAGGTCTAATTATTAAACAAAGAGCTTAGATTGGTACTGAATACTGATAAATACTTTATCCCTCTAACAATGGAATGAAAATTATTCTTAGGGGATGGAGCTGATTCCTCCATTTTTGGAAACAGGGAGACTCTTTACTGCTTCTCCCCACCTCCAACTAAGCAGACAGTGTCTGTGCCCAGTCCTGTATTCGGTACTGCCGGTAGCCCAGCCCTCCCCTCAGCCTGGGGACTGAACAGCTGTGTTTGAAAGTCTCACTCAGTTTGTGCTAGAAAGCAGTAGTGCAAAGGCAGCTGGTGTACAGGCAGGCCTTCATGCTCCCCCATCTCAGGGCAGAACCTTAAGATAGTGAGGCTTAACAGATAGTAGTGAATAAACAGACTTCTGTGTGGCTTTCCACCCGCTGCAAACTGCAAGGACTCTGAAGGGCCTCTCCTCCCTCTTGTTAAAACAGTGGCTGCCCAGAACCCCTGAAGTGGCTGTGATTCAACAGGGCAAAAAAATACTTTATGGGCATGGTTGGTGGTGGCAAAAATTGTAAGTTGTGTTACCGAGTGAATTTATTCTAAAACCTCCTTCTGACTTGCTTGAAACAGCCACAGAATTCAAGACTGAGCCTCCTAGTGTTAAAAGCAAAAGAAATGAAGGATTTTAGGCAAGTGCTGAAACTTGTTTGTGCAATTTACTTGAATACCTGGACCCACAGAAATGTTGGTCTGATCATATGCTTTATCAGAGAAGCATTACAAGAGAAAAGAGTTCTTTCAATTTATATTAATAACTTGTCCTTTGTAGATTCTGTTTTTTCAAATGCAAAGAGTAATTTTTCCTGAATGTTACTTGCAATTGCAAATCTCTGAAAATTGCTGTGGAGAAGTCTTGCAGACATCCTAAAAACAAGCAACTGACTGCATTCATTCCTTAGCAGATGAGTGCTGACCCGTTGCTACCAAGAACAGAAGTGTAAAAAAAGACTACCTGCTCTCTGCAGGTTATTAGTTCCATCACTTAGTCATGAGCCATTTAACTCAAATATTAACTGCAGAAATTAAAGCAAGTCCTTGGCTTGGAAAGATCAGGGGAAGACAGTGCAGCGTGCCAGGATGTGTGCGGCCTGGCTGTTTCTTGTTGGGACATAGCATATCAGCAAAAAACAGACTTCTGCCAGGGGTGTACAAGAGGATGTAGGGTTTGTGTGGCCTCTGAGACCCCCGGAAAAATGATGTTACCCAACTTTTCTAACCAGAGAGCAAATTAAAGTAGCTCAGCCATCCCACCCTGCCTCCCCTTCCTACTCCTCTGACATATTCTTCTTCATTCAATAGATGCATATAAGCTAGGTAACAAGATGGCTTTTTGAATGGACTGCATTTCCTGCCCAATGGTCAACCTACACTTCCAGGTATGCTTGTTTGGGAACTGTTCCAACCCCCAGCACTATCAAAAACAATCCAGAGGAAGAGTCTGGAATGTTGCAGCTCAGGAAGGTAGCTGGTGGAGAGAGGACTGCCTCTGTTAGGGGGTTTCAGGGGAGCCTTTTAGTTTGAAGGGAGAGGAATACCCACTTCATCCATTTTCCAGTGTTTTATTGACTGCTTGGAACATCCACATGTCTCGGATGAGAGGGTAGAGATGCTCTGACCCATCTCTCCTGATGGGACTCAAGCCATGTTGGCAGCAACAGTGCTTGGTAGCCTTGGCTCACTCCTGGAGGCCATTCTCTTCAAGGTGTCTTCCTTAAGCAGCACAGACATTGGCTGTGTAAGGATAGAACAGACTCTTACAGGTAGTCATGATGCCAGTAGTTGACAGGGGCCTGGCCAAGGAAAAGTCTATTTTGTCTTACAGGGAGATAGGAGAAGGTCGTCATAATAACTGGAATATTTTTACCTTTCTCTCTGCTGTAATCTTTCAGGCAAAGATAAGTGATGGAACCTTTACACTCACCCATCAAATGCTGCTGATCAAGCTCAGTGTGCAGGTGGAGGGCAGGGTACACCTCAGCATAGGCTGATGGCTGCCACAGAGCAGCAGCCTCATATGAGAGGAAGGAGTGAGCTGAGCCTTGCTTGTTGGGGAATCTCATATGTGATCTGAACTTCACTGCTCGCCTTTGTTTTCCTTGCTCATTCTGTTTGTCACCCTGAGTGACTAACAGTGTAAGATCCTTTATATTATCAGTAGAACAGGATACAGGTTTTCTAGCCCTGATACCGAGAACATCTATGTACCCACTAAAGGTCAAGGTACCCACTGAAGGTCAACCCCATCTCTGTCCTCTTCAGACTGACCATGGAGGGAACAGTCAGTCTCCACGACCTTCCCCATGAGTGACGGTGCCTTCTTTCCTTCCTCCCCAGGGAGCCCGCTGTGCTCGTGCTGCGTTCCAGACCCCATGGGCCTCTCCTTCCTGCCCACCTATGGCTGCCAAAGCAACCGCACCGCCAGCGTGGCCGCGCTGCGCATGAAGGCGCGGGAGCACTCGGAGGCTGTGCTCCAGTCTGCCAACCTCTTGCCCACCGCCAGCAGCAGCCCCACTCCTCCTGCCAAACCCTCCTGCCCTGAGGGCAACCAGGACAAGCAGCCCTCTCCAGCCAAGGAACACATGGAAGGGGAGAAGAGCGTATGAGACCGGACTGGTGCTGACCCCTTGGCTTAGGGCAGTGACCCGCTGGTGCTCTGCCGGGGGGTGAACTGCAGTGTGGCCATTCCCAGTATGATGTCACAGGGCCACCAGGGACCTGGCACGTCTAAGTGGCCTCTTTGACTGCCTTTCACACACCCTTGCTTTTCTTGTGTCACTGTACGTTCATTTCCCTGATTTATCAGCACTATCTGTGTTTGGAAACGTTCGTGAAACTGTTTTTATCCCCGCTACCACATCCCAGGGACACCAAAAGGCCTGGGATCCTGGCTTACTCCTGCACATCTCGACTTCCCATTCTGTGTGAGACGGATGGCTGACAGCAGCACATCACTTCCAGATGTGAGTTCTGGGGCAGGAGAGGCATCCAGGCACCAGTTACCCCACCACGCACAACGGGGGTGAAGGAATATCCAGGTATAGCCCAATTTGGCCTACTGTTTTCTGAAGGCATTTGACTTCAACCAAATTTATCCCAGGCAATCCAGGTGTAAGAGGAACAGAAAATGGAACAAAACCCTTAGTAATTTTTTCCTTCTGTCTTCTTTTCTCTGAAAGTGAAACTTCCCATGGAGTAGATTACTGGGAAGTTGCCGAGAGCAGTTTACCTGTGACTAAAATCCTTGCACTAGCCTCTATGTGAACATCAGTCTGTTGCTCTTGCCATTCCCTGGGTTAGATGTAAAGACACATGACTTGAAAATGGCATTCATAGCTTCAAACTGTAATGCTGGTATCTAATAGAGAGTGTGGTTGTCTCTATATCTGCACAAGGCTGGGGGTATTTTAGCATCACTGTCTTAGAAAAAGAGACTGGAAGACAAAAGAATCCTGCATTGTAAAACTGGAAATATATCTTTCCATGTTTTGTGTTTAATAAAGAGGAAATTAGGCTTGGAAGGGTATTCCTTTATGCCATCCAAAATCAGACTATTTCATTTACTGAAAACTTGTAATGAATCTAGGTATGAAAATGTATTAATTATTACAGAGTGGACACAGTGCACGGAGAAATTGATACTTTACCAAATATAGTATTATCTCACACCCAAACCTCCCCAAAGCAAAGAGGACTAAGATCTAAAGAGCAGTCATTTTATTCTGTTGTGCCTCATATTTTTTCCATGGGAAATGCACATGCAGATTTAAACTTAGTAACATGGACTTGCATTTTTCAGGTGCCACTTGCAGGCTCCTTAGGCTTGTCCACAGATGTACCTGGAGAACCTGGTGTAACAAACTGTTCTGAGACTTGACCAAGAAATGTGGAGGCTAGTGGAAGGATTCCTGTCACCTCTGATCCTGCATGTTTTCCCAAGGATCTCCTTTAATGTGCTGAGCGCATGTTTTTACATGGGGTTTTGTTCAGCTGTAGGATCTAAGTTTGGGAATGTGCTTGGAAAGCAATCCTGAGTAATGCTGGCAGCAAAATTTTGTCTCCTCCACATAAGTATCTCAGCCCATGAATTTCAGAGAACCTGGGACTTCTCTGGGGCTCTCAGGACCCTCCCATATGCCCTGGTGCATGCCTTCCTTTCCATGAGGCAGGGTTTGATGTCAGCACCCACTCTAACGGTGGAAGCCCTGGTCTTGGCAGCACCAAGCACTTTCATTGCTCCAGGAGTGAAGGGTACCAGGCACCTCCAGAGTGCAGTTTGTGCCTTCTGGACACAAACCAGCAGAGAGGGCATTGCTGGCTCTGTCCTTTGATCTGAATACAAATAAAAGTCAGACAGGGCCAACATTTGTCACCTGAAGTCATTTTGCTTTACTTCTGCCACACAGTGTGTTTCTTTTGGGGATCCTTAACTGTCCTAATTGCAGGGAGGGGAACATGCAGTAGTCTGACATCTGCCTTTGTGTTCCAGCTTCAGGAGCTGCTCTGCTGAACTGTGGGGGAGGTGTCTTCTCTGGCTGCAAGTTATGGCTTAGTTTAAACAACAGCAACAACCTTTTTCTTCCACCAAAATAAAAGAGATCTCTGTGTGCTTTGTTGTGGGGAGTGGTTGGAGGAGAGAAAATCGCTGTTTTGTCAGTGATCTTCCCAATTGTAATTTTTGTGCCCTCCCCCTCCTAAAAAAAGACTAAAAATATATTCCAGTCCAAAGAGGCAGGCTCAACTTCATTTCAACATAATTACCTTGCATTCAGTTGAACTTCAGCCCTTCTGTACACTAACTCTTCAATCTAATTGTTTGATTAAACTCATATTTCCTCCAGAAAGGTACATAAATAAGTGAATTGTTGAGCAAATTAAGAATACTTAACAGCATTGCATCTGAAAAGTAGTTATGCTGATTAAATTTTCTGTCCTTGAGGATTTTCAGGAAATTACTTTTGATCGTCAATAACACAATTAAGTAAACTACACACACATTAGCATGAATAATTGATAAGAAATTATGTATTACCACGAAGCACTGATTTAATAATTCATGATGCGACACTCTAGTGACTGTGCAAAACTGGATAACATTGACAAGTCTGCCTGATGTTGCTGGAAATGCTGCAAATGCAAACAAGTCCACAGTTCTGTTGTACAATAAAGAAAAGTATCTGATGCATGCTGTAGTTTCTGTTTGTTTAATATTTGAATAAATTTAGAAAGAAGACCCTGAGAAGTTCCTGTACTCTTTTCGTTCAGATCAATGTATCTGTTCAAGCATCTGTTTTCACATTGACTGCTGTCCAGTTCTGCTTAGATCAAAGAGCTGTTGTAGAGTGGGGGAGGCTCTCCCCTGCACAACTGAAACCTGCAGGATGTCTCATAACTAGCAAAATTAGGGAACTCAAACTTTACAGAGCCTCCTGTTAAAGGGGCAAAGCACCATCAGTCCCCCTTAAGACTGAGCACAAAGTCTTTTAGACTCTTTAGTATCTGATGTGTCTGTGATTATAATTATGCAGTAAGATGTTGTAGGTGGTTGCTCCAAGTCAGCCACAAATTAAGCTCTTAGATTTGTGTGTTTTGAGTCTACGCCATGCTGTGTTAAACCCTAGGTCAATTTGCCAACAATTCTTGCAACTTGCCTAGGGGAGGCAGATAGACATTTGTGTTCTCTTTAGCATGTTGGGGAAAGCAGAGCATGGTGAACCACCTTTTCCTCTCAAGTTTTGATCCAAGACCTGTCTGCCTCAGGGCAGTGCAACCCAAGGGAGCTTGCTTGAGGTCACTCAGCAGTAGCACAAGGGCAAGAGTAAAACTCAAGAGATCTGTGTCCCTGTCATGCTTGTTTCTAGCCACCAGACCCTGCTCCCTTCCAGATAGGCTTTCCACTGCAGATCAACCACCTGCCTACTTTCTGTGCTGTCATATATCAGGGCTATGCCACTTAAACCACTCTGTAATGACCATTTCAGTAGCTCTGATTAAGCCTGGCATTTAAAAGTTTATAACTCAGCTATAAAAAGTCACTCAGGCTGAACCCCAGCATGAGAGGCCCAAGCCCAAGGGGATGATTTACATGCGAGCTACTCCAAAATTAACCTGCATGATATTTTTTCAGTTATATGAAGGAAAAATGGAAACTCAAGGAGTGAGGGATGGATGTAAGACAAAGACGTTTTGTTTGACAGCTAACTGCATTGTCACCAGATCCTATGCAGTAATTTTCTCTGAATTTCCATACTAGAATGATCCATGCATAGCATGGTCGCTGTGCAAATGTCAGTTGTTCAGGTTTGGCAAAACATCTCCAATCCGGGGCTCCTTTCTCAAGAAATTACAGACATCCACAACACTCGGATTTCCCCTCATCCCTCACCTTCCCCTCTTGGCCATCTCCCAGCATCCTCATTCACGACTCTGCAGAAAGCCTATGGTCCTGCCTCCAGCTCTGGCGCTGACTTTTGTCCTGTGCTGTCCCCATGCTGCAGTTCCTCCTGATCCAGTGCTGAGCCTGGCAATAGGGAGGCTACAGCAGAGCCATCTAGGAGGGAGTCCATGCTCAGGGCATGCTCAGGGCATGATTGGAGCATGTTGGACCAGGTTTTGTTAATGGGGGTTGATGTACAGTGCCAGACCATGGAACCTCTTTATAAGGTTGCATGCCTTTTTCTCAGCTCTCCATGCTTGTTATCTCTTACATGTCTATTTAAGTCTCCTTATGACTACTTACATTATAGCAGAAAATGTGGAGCTGTGAAATGCACCTTTGCTCAGTTATGCCATAGGCTAATCCTTCTTACACTGCATGCTGGATAGTAATGAGATTGTTGGTCTAATTGGCTCTTTATTAGGAGTATTATTTACAACAATGCTGAAGGCCATGTGCATGCAGATAAAGATCTTGGTTTACCATTAAACTCTTCCCTCTTGCAGTCAGTGCCCTCCCCTCTGATCCCCACAGATTGCTGCCCTTGGGGAGTTTGAGCTGACCTCTCCACCTCCCAGAGGAGTCCCCCATCCCAGGTCATGGCCAGGGATAAAAGCTTGCTGTCTCTGGGAAGTCTGCCCTTCTGCTGCGTGCTCAAGCTTTCTGCTTCCCTGCAGCAGAAAGAAGCCAGCACAGTGTGGGAGGAAGTCATTTGTTGCTGAGTGGACCACGAGGGAAAAAGGGATGGAGATGAAATGCTTGTGGTGTGCTGCTGTGGCACATTCTCCCTCTAAAAGAGCTGCTACTCGATAAAGATCCTGTTGTGCCTGGCTGGCGGTGTGGTGGAAACAGAGTGTGAAGCAGGGGAAGTGAGAAGCCCTGAACTGACACCTGAGCTCTGAGTACATAATTCAGACCTCTCCACTGAAGAGTTTGACACCCCTCTCTGAGATCATAGTGTGGCCTGAGAGGGGGGAGTTGCCTGCCACAATGCCATAAATAAAAGAGCGGTAGAGTACAATAAACAATGCTTTATTCTTTCCAGTTAAAAACTTCCTTTGCGATGTAGTAAAATATTGACTTTAGGTGACCATATTACCACAAAACAAGACCTTTTCCTGATAACAACCAAAGAAGCATTTACATAGATATGGCCTGTGAGAATGTGAA